TGGAAACAATGAAACTTTTTTTCATCAAATGAAATATTCTTTATGAATTTTGATGTTTAGTTTTGAAATGTGATTATATGTCGTTAAGCTTGCTTGGCTAAACACTAATTTCATCTCCTAGATTTATCGTTCTATTTCAGGTCGTGATATACTTATTTAGACCCAGGCTCAATGAACTTCTAGCTTATAGCTTTGCAAACAAGTTTAACCACCGAAAATTTCATTCCATGTCTTCAACGTAATCGTTTTAACAGAAAATCTATATTTTGAAACACACAAAAGTTCAAACAGAGCTTCTTATTTCATTTTTCTCTTTACCATAACATACTTTTTTTTCTAAATATTTTTCAACGTATATTGTGTATTATAAAAGTATTGTAAGGAAATGTGATCCGAAATACGTTCGACAGATATATTTTTTTAAATTAAACTGAATTTGTTTTAATTGAACTGTTTCCATTCGGCTAGAATGCAAAATTGAAAACTACATAAAACTGATTTAACCATAAACTTAATTACTTTCTAAAATGCCCCCAGATCGCACAAGATCAATTCTAGATTTCACTTTACACCTCACTATAGAAGAGCTCTGTAGGCGCTCGCACAGGACCCTCGTCATGAAAATGTTGGAAGCCACAGGATTTCAAATGTATTAGGAATACCTGTTTCTGTTCATCAAACTCCCCCTTCGAAGTCGGAGGAAAAATAGGCTTAACAAAAATAGGTCTCGTAGTTTCATTTATGACGTTATTATTTTGCATTTCATTTTTAGTTCATATTTTCGTTTTGTCGGGATTTGTCTCCGGTGTTGATTGCGACGATTGATTTCTTCCCTTTTGAGCGACAATTACATTATATTGTACAGACTACACTGTAATTATTTCACCAAAGCCGTATGAGCGCGATTGACTGCTACACAAAATCAGTTTTAGTTTGAATATTCAAAACTGAACTGGAAGGCGAATGATGTTGAGCACAATTTTTAATAGTGTATAAGAGATTCATAGATTGTCGGCTCAGTACAACGACTAAAATACACATCAATTGTAAATAGCATATACCATATTATAAAATAATTAATGATATACACAAAAACAAATAGCTTCAATCTGTTAATACTGCTATTTCCGTTTTGTGTTTTCAAGATAATCAAACGGGTTAGGAATCAGGCGAAAGTCCTCCTCGATATCCAGGGGTTACGCTCACTAAGAGAGCGTAGGTGAGCGTAACCCCTGGATATCGAAGATGGCGAAAGTCTAAAGGTCACTAGTTGAATCATGATCATGATTAAATTAGCTCCCGACATACACTAGTAACAGTTGTACAAAAACTTCTATAAGTAATGTAGTTAATATAATGAAAGATATAAGTTAAAGCGAACTCCCTATTTGGTATTTCTAAGCGAACCTGTTAACGTCTGAGAGAGATTACAGCCTGCTATTCCCAGTGATCCCCTTTAAGTCGGAGCAACAGTTTTCAAAACTTACGTAGAGTAGGTAATAGCCCATGAGTTGGTCTGAGGGTGACAGTGCTATCTAGAGCGGCTTGTTAAATCTATTTCGGACAGTCAGTGTCTGAGAATGACAGAACTTTTATTGCGGCTTTGCTTTACAGAACCTACCATATATTCATCAACTACCGGAATTTAATGGCGTCTATGTGTTACGCAAAGCCACGATAAAATCCTATAATGGTACAGGGTATAAATCGCTACTCCTCTAATATGCTATATTGCGTTTCTTATTCCGTTGGTGTCTTTTTACCAACCGCCATCAAAGATCATAATGAACATTTGACATACCATCACGACTAACCTTAGGTTAGTAACAGAATTCCATGTTCTCCATTTTCGGAAATAAAATATGGGGTCATTGTTTTAATCTCAAAGGAGTGAGTTCGAAAAATCTGCTCACGTGATGCGTCATTGCTTTCGCACTGAACAAGTTTTTTCTGTGCTGACGTATTGATTGAAACCTGAAATATATATATTCAACAACACTTGTATAGCGCCCTTTAATTACTCAATATAAAACTGCAAAATTACTTAAAAGCGCAAAATTACTCCAAACCTTGCTGTGTCTGTATCGTTGCCTGTGTATAACTATGTAAACAAACTGAAGGCCGACTTTTACAATGTATCAATGACTACATCCTCGGTCTCAAGGGTTACGCTCACTTTCGCTCTCTGAACCCTTGGAATATGTCATATCAAAATTGTGCAATTGGTGTACATCAAAAGAATCTATCGGTCGCATAACGGTAGAATTGACTGGCTTTGAAGTGGGGTCGTTCCTCTGCAATCTTCAAAGGACAGGTACCAGCCTAGCGATTGGTCAGGGTTTTTTTTAAACCCGAGATTTGCTACGACATATTCCAGGACCCCTGCAGTATCGAGGATGCTGGGACCTACCCAGGATGCAATGACTTGTACATACATATGTACTTAAGAACGAGCTCTCAACTTTGGTCCATGTAAGTGGTCTGTACATGTACAGGACTGAGCTTCGACCTTGCGATGTGTCAGTGGTCAATACATTCCTGACGTCAAACACTTCCATTCACTTCTGTTTCAACAGTAGTTTTAGACCCGTTTGGATCTCCACCCTCTTGGTCCCTAGCACCATCAACGGGTTCTAGAAGGTTGAACCAGCTGTATGGTGCAGTGCCATTCATTTCAGACACACTATATCTATTACGAAAGCTTTAACGTGCAGTCACCTGTGTGTGTCTTACGTTCATCTTTCGATATACAAGGCGGTGGACTTTGCTGGCGGATTTATAAGTCCTCTGATATGAACACTTTTCCCATCTTTTATTTTGAATTCAATCAGTGGTATGTACAAACTTTAGGACGAGCTCCGAACTTACTGGACCCTAAAGCTCTAATCTATACAATGTGTCAAATTGGTACACGTGACCTGTACATACCTAAGGTCCAACACTTTACCACGTGACCTGTACATACCTAAGGTCGAGGTCAGAACTTTACAACGTGACCTGTACATACCTAAGGTCGAGGTCAGAACTTTACAACGTGACCTGTACATACCTAAGGTCGAGGTCAGAACTTTACCACGTGACCTGTACGTACGTAAAGTCGATGTCAGACCTTTACCACATGACCTGTACATACCTAAGGTCGAAGTCAGAACTTAACCACATGACCTGTACGTACGTAAAGTCGAGGTCAGAACTTTACCACGTGACCTGTACATACCTAAGGTAGAGGTCAGAACTTGTGTCACTTATTGGTTAAGTAAACATGGCTTTCATTTCACTTGTCCATTGTTTGTGATAAGATGTATTTTCCCACTTATCACATCCAATAAGGAAGAAAAATTAAATTGATAAGAAGCAAGTCGGCATAAAAAAGGTCCATTTTGGGAATAAATGTGGAATACCTTCATCACACTGAGCTGTTTTCCGGCATACCAGGGGAAAATTCCCTTATATATAAATGTAGGGACATCCATCTTAACTCCAAGGACACGCAGGTCGGATAACAGTGAGAAGACTTAATTCCAAATAGGTTGATTCCTAGGAGGGGATATGGGAGGATCGGGAGTTGAATATGGGCTTGTTGACCTTTGTTGTACGCTCAAATTAGCTTGTAACAAAACATTGCTAAATAGCTAGAAAGGAATGGTTAAAGTTCCCATGTAGGTATTGAAGGGAGCTTGCCGCGACGTTTGCATTTTACATTAATACATACATCTCTAATAAAACAGCTTATTCTGTCAAAATGTCACTTGTTGATTGTAAGTTTTCATGTTAGTTTGTAAGTGTCGAGGAGAAAATGAAGTATAACACTTAAAGATAAAACAGTCACATAGAAACAAACAATATATATATGTAACATAAGTTTTATATTCTGTAAATAGAAGCCATAGATATATGTCTAGATAAGTATTCGATAATCCAATTATGATATTTTAAGAAATATACAGTAATGCTGTTAATTTTCTTGTAGCTACATTGTACCTCATATAGTGACACACATTGATCTCTTAGACAAAATAAAATTAAGCATTCTCTTCGAATTTATTCCAGAGGAACATTATTTTATGTACTTATTAGATAGATTATGAGCATGTGAATTTATAACATGATTATCTTGTAGTGCAGTCAATTCACTCTTGTCACTTTTTACTGCACATCACCTCACATAGCTACATGTAAGACAATATGCACCACATCATAATAACTTATCTCCACTCCATTATGATGTTTTTTTCATGCATCCAAAACGCTAGAATTAGACAAAGAATTTAACAGTCACCTTTTTATACAATACTCACCTTGAATTCTAATTTGTCTGATATGTAACATGGCGTTTTATTTGTCAATTGAAAGTAACCACAATGTACCATCCATAAATTTGTCATTTGCATACGAAACCCATATGGCAATTGTTAGTCAATTCTATGACCCAGGATGACCTGACACATTATGACAATGATTATTGGAGACATCACAAAATAGCATGACCTCATTGAAAGGTCAATATAATTCCATCCCACTTTGAGTGTTACTGGTGTTACCAATCCACAGCTGACTGACCAAGATTTTTGAAAAAGGCACACAATTAAAACCTGAAGTCGGTAACTCGTCACCCCGATGTCACTATACACATATTTTATACATTCAATGTTGAAGTACACTACCTACTAACTGCTACTATACGTCAATAAATAGATTAATATGTACAAAATACACTACTGAATATACAAAAACATCACAGGTTTCACATTATTTGGAGTACCACTCTCTGTACAGAGCGTATAATAATACAACTTTGACATTGTTCCCCTGGCTTCAACTTCTTTTAAAACCATTAAACCAATCAATGTTACTCTTTTTTAACAATTTTTCAGACAAACCATGTTCAAATTGAAATAAAGAGAATATTATATTTAAAAAACAAAATTCACTTCTTTCACTTGAAAAACATTTTTTTTTCATTTGATGCTATTTGAAAAGTGTTTTTTTTAGTGAAACATGTTATTTCAAACAAAGCATAATGAAAATCATTGATTTCATAAACAACTAATCTGTACTATTTTTGAATTCATTTGTAACTTAATGAGAAGTTGAAGGTAATTTCTATGTCAGGGACGGTTTCTCTTCATGTTGATCAATATACACATACATGTGTGTACATGCACATTTATCTTGATATTTGATCAAAGATATTCTTCACATTTCACCATCTGACACACAACCATGGCGAGAATCCAAACTCAAATTTAATTAACTGTAACATTGTCTTGTTATCACACTTCACAGATCATATTGACACCTCATCTTCATAATCATCTTCATAGTCCTCGAAATCATCGTCATCATCTTCATAATCATCGTCCCTGTCACTGGCTTTCGTCATACTATCCTCATCTATGTGTTTGACACTAGTCTCGTCATCTACATCTGGTATAGAGAAATGTACTGGCTGATCCTTAAACACCACCATGGTAGGACTGTCCCTGGGGGCGGGGCTGTGCTGGGTCAGGAAGGGTGAGGCTGGAGAGCTATCCTCAGTCTCCTTGGGTACCAAAAACTCAGACTTACACACGTTTGTTACAATAGCTTCATTCAAGTCCTCAAGTTCCCCAGCAATATCAGCCATACACTCTTCCAAAATGTGGTCAGCAACCCTGTGATAAGTACATGAAAAAAGAAACTAGAAAAGTGAAATGGCATCTTAGTTATTTTGTCCCTTGCATGTTCTAGCAATAGTCAAGAATGGACCTACAGTATCCAAACTGCACTTTATCAGAGATAACATTATGAATAGTATCATGTATTTATCCGATATATTTTACGTTCCTTTCTTTCATTTTACACATTAACTTCATTATTTTGAAACTTACTAGATATCAAATAGAATTTAAAAACGGCAATTATTTGAATTACATTTAATACAAATGACTCAATAGGATAATCAATTATTTGAATTCATACTTATTAACCTTAAATCACATGTTTGAGGCTGTATGTCACCTTAAAATTCATATTTGTAATAGTTATCTTCCCGATGCAAGAGAGTGAAACCCTGAACATGTCTGTGATTTGTATAAGAGTTTTCTCCCTTATAGATATATGCTTCCTTACATATTGTTAATACTTTTTAAACCCCTATTGCTTATCTACATATCACATGTACAGTGCATCACTATGTGAAAAGAAAAAAGAAAAAAAGACTTCTGAATTCTAAGATTAGGACCGTAATCCACAGTCAACTTTTAGTAACAGTGACTGACCTTGACCTTAGAAATGTTCAAACCTCTTTTGCACATCTACATTTCTCAGTGTATCACATGTCAAATTTCAGAAAGATTAGTGTTTTGTTTCCAAGATAATTTCCAGAAACGAAAGTGTTGACTAATAGACAGATCAGGCAGACAGATGGACACTGTGATTACTATAGGGCACTAATCAAATTATGGGCCTAATTTTGGTAAAAACCTACTCTTCCATGAGTCTCCAGGGGTCAAACTTTCCAATGCGCTGGTGGGATGTTTTCTTTAGATACCGATCATATGCCTCCACGCCAGCTGTTATCTTCTCTCTCACACTTTTAGGTATCGAGATTTGTACCTCTGGTCGACCTCTGATGTCATAAGCTGAATCTTTCAGAGGGCCATCATCAAAATCGGTCTGAAAGCTCGTCTTGAGTTCTGTGAATTTTACTTCAGACTTCATCTTAGTAAATATGATTGGTTCATCATCCCTGTTCTTTGTGAATTCCCTGAAAATTAAACAAGTGTTCAATTAATAAAGAGTTTTCATTGGTACATATAAAGGAGAGCAAATAGCCATGATTTGTACTTCAGAGAGAGTGTTTTCATGTATAATCTACTAGCTTTAGCAAGGAAATTTACCTTTGCATATTTGTTCTGATTGGTACACAGCTAAATGTATTGATATTACCTGTATGTGATTTTCAGTATGGTATGATTGACTATGTTTTATATACCTAGTCATGTATTTCTGGATGGTATGATGCGTTCAATATTCTTACCAGTGCATGTTTATCTAGATGGTATGATGTGTTCAATATTCTTACCTGTGCATGTTTTTCTGAATGGTATGATGTGTTCTATGTTCTTACCTGTGCATGTATATCTGGCTGGTATGATGTGTTCTATGTTCTTGCCTGTGCATGTTTTTCTGAATGGTATGATTTGTTCTATGTTCTTACCTGTGCATGTATATCTGGATGGTATGATGTGTTCTATATTCCTACCTGTGCATGTATTTCTGGATGGGATGTTCTTACCTGTGCATGTAAATCTGGATGGTATGATGTGTTCTATATTCCTACCTGTGCATGTATTTCTGGGTGGTATGATGTGTTCTATATTCTTACCTGTGCATGTATTTCTGGGTGGTATGATGCATTCAAATTCTTACCAGTGCATGTTTTTCTGGATGGTATGTTCTTACCTGTGCATGTTTTTCTGGATGGTATGATGTGTTCTATACACTTACCTGTGCATGTTTTTCTGGATGGTATGATGTGTTCTATATTCTTACCTGTGCATGTATTTCTGGGTGGTATGATGTGTTCAAATTCTTACCAGTGCATGTTTTTCTGGATGGTATGTTCTTACCTGTGCATGTTTTTCTGGATGGTATGATGTGTTCTATACACTTACCTGTGCATGTTTTTCTGGATGGTATGATATGTTCTATATTCTTACCTGTGCATGTTTTTCTGGATGGTACGCGGGGGTACTGTATGTCTGGTTATCTCCATAGCTGCAGGTGCCAGAGGACGACCAGAATCTACAATACAAATATAGCATATTGAAAGCCTGAATTATAAGTTAATTAAATAATACTAAGACATGGTCAAGAGACTTTTATCAATCTTCTGTTATATAAATGGTGATGTTAGAATATAATTAATGTTGAAATTATTAAACGAGTATGTTCCATGCAAATTGATTTGTATTATGAGAAATTACAGCCATTTTGGCACTGCCCATCTACCCCAAGAGGGCCCACACGTTCACACCCTTCATTTAAACATCACTTATTCCCTTCATCAAGACTCAGTTACATATATTTAATCACAAAATAACTTAAAGGTGTTAAGAAATGGAAAGAGCCATTCATGTTCACTACCTACAATGTACCTTATTGACCAGCAGTATCAAAGTAAATATCATTATTAAGTAGTCATAGTCATTCAAAAATATGGCGGATGGACCTAACAGATGCCTCCTTCCTCTACCCCATTTACAATTTCCGCTATTTGCAATAATCGTCTCATCAAAAATATGTCAGATTTCTGGACTGTGGGAAATTTAATTAACACAATATCTGTGTTTTGCTGTACAAAAATGATATAAGGATCGGTAAAAGTAACATCAATAAATAAAAAGGGCAAATGATATACCTCTCATGCTCGGTTTGGTTAGAGGTTCCGTCTCTGAGAATTGTACTGTTGCCCACCTCCGTCTTATGTTATGTCGTTCCTCCTGCCAAAGACCAGACAAAACTGTTTTAATTTTAATATCAAATGAAATATTTTTCCTATGTCATAATTATATCATCATTTCAAAATGAACCGATAGTTGGATATCTTCATGATAATCAAATCATTTTTTAAAAATCTAATACCTTATAAATACATTATATCAATGAAAGGTTTTGCTTGAAACATATTTTTTTACAATCTTTGCAATTGAACAGAAAGTTTTTCATAACTGTACAAAGTAGGAGAGGTCTAGGTAATAACCACACCCTACTTAAAAGGTTTGTCTAGAGACAGACACTCAATCAGTCACTTTAAATTACAGAAACTAACGTTTATGATCATGAGGAACTGTTTTTACAATTTCAAATTAATCTCTATTAAGTGTATTTGTGTACATTGAGGAAATCTCTATTAAGGTTTTTTGTGTACATTGAGGAAATCTCTATTAAGTGTATTTGTGTAAATTGAGGACATCTCTATTAAGGTTTTTTGTGTACATTGAGGAAATCTCTATTATGTGTATTTGTGTACATTGAGGGAATCTCTATTAAGGGTATTTGTGTACATTGAGGAAATATCTATTAAGTGTATTTGTGTAAATTGAGGACATCTCTATTAAGGTTTTTTGTGTACATTGAGGAAATCTCTATTAAGTGTATTTGTGTACATTGAGGAAATCTCTATTAAGGGTATTTGTATACATTGGGGAAATCTCTATAAAGTGTATTTGTGTAAATTGAGGAAATCTCTATTAAGTGTATTTGTGTACATTGGGGAAATCTCCATAAAGTGTATTTGTGGACATTAAGGAAATCTCTATTAATGTTTTTTGTGTACATTGAGAAAATCTCTATTAAGTATATTTGTGTACATTGAGGAACTCTCTATTAAGTGTAATTGTGTACATTGGGGAAATCTCTATAAAGTGTATTTGTGGACATTAAGGAAATCTCTATTAATGTTTTTTGTGTACATTGAGAAAATCTCTATTAAGTATATTTGTGTACATTGAGGAAACCTCTATTAAGGGTATTTGTGTACATTGGGGAAATCTCTATAAAGTGTATTTGTGTAAATTGAGGAAATCTCTATTATGTGTATTTGTGTACATTGAGGAAATCTCTATTAAGTGTATTTGTGTACATTGGGGAAATCTCTATAAAGTGTATTTGTGTACATTAAGGAAATCTCTATTAAGGGTATTTGTGTACATTGAGGAAATCTCTATTAAGTGTATTTGTGTACATTGTATTATATTTATTTTCCAAACTCTTATTATTTCAGGACTAAATCAATAAATAAAGTAGCAACTTGTGTTTTGCTTTTCAACAATTTAAACAGTAATTATTCCAGATTTTTTTTTTGGGGGGGGGGGGGAGGGGGAATCAACGTGTTCAGACTATTATTTATGAAGTTTCACTGTACAACAAAGTCAAACAGATTGTATCACCGACCTCCATCTGCTCCAGTTTATACATGAGGTTCTCCAGGGTGGGACGATCTTGTAGGGCAGCAGCTTTTTTCTCGGCCAGCTCCTGTCGCTCCAGGGCCTGAAACTCCTCTGCTGTGTCTGTGATCACGTCCTGTAGTATCATCTCTGTCAACACATCTCTACGCTCTTCCGGCTGTTAATCAGATATTCATAGTACAATCTGCAGCCCACACAAGTCATCTCAAGTCACTTAACTGTCAGAATCTCTACATACAAGTCATCTCAAGTCACTTAACTGTCAGAATCTCTACATACAAGTCATCTCAAGTCACTTAACTGTCAGAATCTCTACATACAAGTCATCTCAAGTCACTTAACTGTCAGAATCTCTACATACAAGTCATTTCAAGTCACTTAACTGTCAGAATCTCTACATACAAACTACACTAACACTCTTACGAAAGTTAAGTTTTACTTCATTGACAAAGTGAAGGTACATATTTTATTTCTCACTACAAGGTATTCCCTCTTAGCTTATTTCATATACCAAAGGATGTATTTTTTTTAAGTTTGAATTTCATCAAGTATAATTATGCAAACATTTCTATTTGAAGGTTAATGCTGTAACTATACATATTGTGTGATACACATTAAGTTTACAAAGAATTATCATCGGAGAAGGAAAGCTTACATTAGTGATATCGTCTGTGATTCCCCGTTTAAAGTTTGGATCAGTCGCAGCCATCATCATCTCCTGACGACAAGCTATCTCCTACAATAAGTAAATACAAATCTTATCAACAGAACTGTCAAAACAAGCTTTGTTTTTCAGTAGAAATTGACCACAAGTGGATAGTGCCATCATTTGTCAACAAGAAACTGTGTCATTAAGAGAAATATGCCCACACTCCTGACGATGAAATCAAAATGTATTTTACTGGCATTAAAGGTATTTGTATAAGAAGTTTTTTATAACCATGGCTGGCCAATAAAGGCTACTGACCATCAGACATTTCGCATTTATAGGAGACTCTACATATTTCCACTCTTTATGACATAGGTCTTTCCTGTCAGATAATGCAGAAAATAGGCTGACAATATCTTTGGAAAGTGGAGCATCAAGATCTCTTGGTGAAACCCTGAATACGTGACATTATATCCAGGTCTATAATTACCTCGGCCTGGGCCAGGAGGGGCTGTAGTCTCCTCTGAATGGCTTTCTCAGCATTATCAATCAATCTCTCTGACGGACTCTGTGACCGGGCAGCCCTGTGCAACATAGTACAGAAATACAAATCAAACAAAAATTGACATGTCATGAGCCATGAAAAGGCAGTTATGGTAATGAAATAAGATTTCATTTCAAACTATGAAAAGACCAAAAAAAATATTGCACTTATCCCTGCTTTGTTTGGTCATAATTATCCAAGCATTCACTTTGCAACACAAATATTAATTAAAACATCACCTGATTGATGGGCAGATATAAAAAACAAAAACTGCTAACAGGTAGTTAATTTAACCTCAGTATAGCTTAGAAATATTAGTCTTCTAACTTTCTTTGGTGTAGCTATATATAGTAGCACCAATCAAAATCAATTCAGACATTCAGAATTGATTTGGTCTAGTGTCCTTTTAACAGCTCAGGTCATTTAAGGATACGTCTGTGTGTGTGTGTAAAATATGTGTTTGTAACATGTGCTGGAGGTGGTATGTTGGTTTACTTGCCTCCTTGCAATAACACAGATCTGATGTCAGACATTTGGGAGTTGTGTCCCCTGCATGTACTGACAGGACCCCTACATGTACTGACAGGACCCCTACATGTACTGGCAGGACCCCTACATGTACTGACAGGACCCCTACATGTACTGACAGGACCCCTACATGTACTGACAGGACCCCTACATGTACTGACAGGACCCCTACATGTACTGACAGGACCCCTACATGTACTGACAGGACCCCCTACATGTACTGGCAGGACCCCTACATGTACTGACAGGACCCCTACATGTACTGACAGGACCCCTACATGTACTGACAGGACCCCTACATGTACTGACAGGACC